GCTACACAACCAGCAACACAACCTGCTACACAACTAGGTACACAACCTGCTACACAACCAGCAACCTACTAGCAGTAATATTAGCAGTAAAATTAGCAGTAATATTAGCAGTAGTATTAGCAGTAACATTCGCAGTCATATTAGCAGCAATATTAGCAGTAACGTTAGCAGTCATATTAGCAGTAATATCACCAGTATTATTAGCAGTAATATTAGCAGTAACGTTAGCAGTAGTATTAGCAGTAACGTTAACAGTAATATCAGCAGTTATATTAGCAGTAATGTTAGCAGTAACATTAGCACTAATATTAGCAGTAATGTTAGCAGGGATGTTAGCAGTAATGTTAGCAGTAGCATTAGTAGTAACGTTAGCAGTTATATTAGCAGCAATATTAGCAGTAATGTTATCAGTAATATTAGCAGTAATGTTAGCTGGAATATTAGCAGTAATGTTATCAGTAATGTTATCAGTAATGTTAGCAGTATTATTAGCAGTAACATTAGCAATATTATTAGCAGTAACGTTAGCAGTAATGTTAGCAGTAATATTACCAGTGTTATTAGCAGTAGTTTTATCATTGACATTAGAAGTGGTATTAGCAGTAACGTTAGCAGTAATATCAGCAGTTATATTAGCAGTAATGTTGGCAGTTATACTAGCAGTAATGTTAGCAGTAACGTTAGCACTAATATTAGCAGTAATGTTAGCAGTAATGTTATCAGTAATGTTAGCAGTAACATTAGCAGTATTATTAGCAGTAACATTAGCAGTAATGTTATCAATAACATTAGAACTAGTATTAGCAGTTATGTTAGCAGTAATATTAGCAGTAGTATTAGCAGTATTATTAGCANGCACACCTGTCTGTCTGTCTCACCTGGATGTCCACAGAGGAGGTGAACTTGGACCAGTTCTCCCAGTCGTCCTGGTCAAATGGATCCTCGATGGACTGAACTGGTGACAGGTGGAGTCAGACAGGTAGAACAGGTGAGAGAAAGTCTTTTAAAGGTAACAGTTGAGCAGCGGCGCCCTCTGCAGGCTGGACGACGCCCCTGCAGCTCCTCTGTCGTCTCTAATTAATCGAATGCAGAACTTGCTTCATAAAGCTACACGTGAACTCATCTAACTGTGACTTCACCCTTTAAATGTCTTCAGAGCTTCAGCAGGAAGAAGAACTGAAGCAGTTTGTTCAGGATGCGCTCACACATGGACCAGCACAAGTTTGACTAATTCACTGGTTTCATACATTAGATTCACTCCAGTCATGGTACTTAGTGGTACACTTGTTTACGCCTTCGTGTGACTCTCTGGTGTTACCGGGGTAGTTCTTGATGAAGTTGCGGTACAGATCTCCCAGCTGCTCGCCGCTGATGTGTCTGGACGGGTCGTCAGGCGACTTGAAGTCCAGGTCGTACTTCCCGCTGCGGAAGAACTCTGAGGCGGCCACGTCCATGCCGATGATAATCTTGTCGGGGTAGCCGGCCTTCTCGATGGCCGTCTTCAGCAGCTCCAGAGCTGCAGGAAAACCAACAGTTCATACTGACGGACAGAAGATCAAAGAACTGTGCTAGCAGCCCGACAGAAGGTCAGCTTTACTCATGATGGATGTCAGAGAAAAACTAAAGCTGCAAAGAAACTGATTTTAATACTCAAAAAGCTGCTTAGTGTCTGTTTCCATCAATCTGTTTAATGATTGCTGCTCATAGAGGAGCTTTGGTTTCACTGGGTTTAGCATAAACATTATTGTAGAGTCTTAATCTTATTACTTATAATGTATATATTAAAATAATACAGTCTTAACCTTATTATTTATTTTATAATTGTAGGGTCTTAACTCACATTTTTCTTAGCTCACTTTGGGAAACACTTGGGCTCACATAAGCTGAATAAACATTGTTGACGTGACTCAGACTAACTGTACTGCGTCAACATAACCTCACAAACTGCACCAGCCCGCCTCACCCTCGTTGTTCTCCAGGATGTTGGGGGCGAAGCCGCCCTCGTCTCCCACGTTGGTGGCGTCCTTCCCATACTTGGCCTTGATGACGTTCTTCAGGTTGTGATAAACCTGAACAAGCAGACAACGACAACACCGTTAGCGTTAGCGGCACTGCAGGGCGGCGCTGCAGGGCGAAACTTCAGCTCACCTCGGCTCCGATCCTCATGGCCTCGTGGAAGTTGGCGGCTCCGACTGGCAGGATCATGAACTCCTGCATGGCCAGCTTGTTCCCAGCGTGGCTGCCTCCGTTGATCACGTTAAAGGCCTGAAGAAAGACAACAATTTGCTCAACAGGTTTTTTCCTATTTGACTAGCCGCCCATGCTAACTTAATGAAAGCCCCTTTTTTCTGAGGTCGAACAGGAAGGTTTCATGTGTCTACTGGTAACGTTAGCAGCTAAAACCAGATAAAATCCTTCCTCATGCCAGGCCCCACCCAGTCGCCACAAGCCCCTCCCACTCACAGGAACAGGCAGGATGACATCTTTGTGTCCGGCAAGGTCGGCGATGTGGCGGTAAAGAGGAACTCCCTTCTCTGCTGCTCCGGCCTTACAGACAGCCAGCGACACACCGAGGATGGCGTTAGCACCGAACTGAGCTGCAGAGAGGCAGACAGGTGAGGGGCAGACAGGTGAGAGGCAGACAGGTGAGGGGCAGACAGGTGAGGGGCAGACAGGTGAGAGACAGACAGATGAGAGACAGACAGGTGAGGGGCACACAGGTGAGAGACAGACAGGTGAGGGGCAGACGGCTGTATTTACTTTGTCCATGCTCCCGTTACACAACATTAGCAGGAATCGTGACAGTACTGTAATATCTGTGGTTAACGACTATATTGATCTATGAAGCCAAAGGAAACCAACCACTGGGTCGGTCTGAATTGAACTGAATTAATCAGGTTCTTACATTTGTTCTCGGTGCCGTCCAGCTCCAGCATGAACTTGTCGATCTTCTCCTGCTCGACGACGCTGAAGTTCTGGACAGGCAGGTAAAAACAGTTAGCATTAGCCTAGCCCGGGCAGAGCAGCAGCAGCAGCCTCCCTGGAATCAATAGCGACTGATCATTAACTGGTACCTTCTCGATCAGCTTGGGGGCGATGTCCTTGTTGACGTGCTCCACAGCCTTTATGGTACCTGTGAGGACACACATGTCAGCGTCTGTCTGCAGGCTGTTGAACCCTCCCGACCATGTGAGCGCCTACCTTTGCCCAGGTAGCGGCTCTTGTCTCCGTCACGGAGCTCCAGGGCCTCGTGGACTCCGGTGGAGGCTCCACTGGGGACAGCGGCCCTGAAGAGGCCTGAGGGACAGCTGGACGTTAGCGTCAGGTGTAACATCCACGCTTTGAAACACCGTGGTGCTTAGTTCTCCTCTGAAGATGGCCCTCAGAGGCTCCTGCAGTGAAGCCCTCCTCATGTCTTCATCTGCTGACCATGAGCTGAGCTCCTGTGGCCGTCAGTCGGACATGTAGACCGACTCACGTGTTACACGGTAACATCACAGACCGGTTCCAGTCGTGTTGGGAGTCTGTGTGTGAGCGTGTGTGTGTGTGTGTGTGTGTGTGTGTGTGTGTGTGTGTGTGTGTGTGTGTGTGTGTGT